AAAAGTGAGTAAGATATTTATCAGTCTGATGAAGCAACACCAGCAACACATGATGAAATTCCTTCTATAAATCATCCCTTCGAGATGTTTTGCATTTCCTTTTGGAAGCATTATAAAATCCTATTCATTTACTGTAATTTCAAGAGCATGCTGGACATGGTATATTCTAAGTTAATCTCAGATGATTTACATGCAAATATGTTCCAGATTTGATGATCTCAGCTCAAGCAAGAGGCGACTCATTTCCAAATATTTCTGTTCTCAGGAACTGACATTCAATTCAATAAGTGTTTATTGAGCTACGTAATACAAGCGGACTTTAGAGCTGGCCGATAGTGCTTCTGTGACCCCGTCCAGCAGAAAAGCAGTGCTCAGAACAGTGTCCCTGGAAATCTCTGATGTGCCACCCCGACTTCGGTTTACAAGATAATAAAGAAAAACTGGCTCAAGTCTTTTGTCTAACTGTGCCAGCTGTGCCCTCCCCGGTAAACACATGTAATTATACATGATGTCATGTGCTGCTTATTTGGTTTGTTGGTCTCAAGGGAGCCGCTTTTCAAAGTTCTGGCAGGAGCGTCCATACATAGTCTGTTCTGCTCCCTGTCAGCATAACAGTATTGCAGTCTGACATGGGGTAGCCTAGCCAATTTATCTTGTCTTTCTGAATCTTCCCCACTTCAAAAATGCATCAGTGAATTCAAAACTGCATGATACATGACTCATAGTTACTGAATAATCAATTGGAAAAGAGCACTAACAACAATCCAATAGAAAGAAGGAATAAAAGAGGAACAAATAGGCTAAGGGAATCATTTAGTCTCCAAGGGAGTAATTTCTTGGTCCCCTGAGTGGTAAGAGTTAACATCTCTGTTGCTAACCAAACGGTTGAATATTCTGATCTATCCATAGACATCTCAGAAGAAAGCCTTGTTGGTTTACTTTCAAAACACCAGCCATTGAAAACTTTATGGAATACAGTTCTAGTTTGGCATACACTGGGTCACCAAAAATCAGGATCAGCTCAGCAGCCTCTCATTTGTTTTCTGTGTGCTGGGCATCAACATTAGAGCTCTGATGAAAATACACAAGGCCTTCCTTTCCTGGAACTCACAGTCTGTTGGGCACTAAATGGAAAGGCCCCATTTTATTATGGATGATAGACACTCTGGGGAGGGAAATGAAGATGCTGTGGGAACACGGAGGAAGATCATGAACCCAGCTGGAGGGAGCAAGGCAGGAAGGAATCAGAGATGACTCTCCACAGGGAGGGATGTCTTACCTGGGCCATGAGGATCTGTTACATACCCGGGACGAGGGGGAAAGAGAGTTCAAGGCCCTGTTACAAGACTCAAAAGGGAAAAAACAGAGCCTGTGAGGAACTGAAAAGTTCAACATGTTTAAATCATAGAGTGTGAGACAGGATGAGTGGGAAGTAAACAAAGAGGAGCAAGTAAGATGTTTCCCACGAGTCTGACATAAGCAGCTGAGCTGCTGGTGATTTAATTTACTGAAAAGAGCAACCAAGGAGAAGTAGATTTGAAGGAAGTTAGGGTGACAGTGACTTAAGCAGTTTACTATTTCTAGATTATGGGGATGATCTTTTGAAAGTTCTTGAAAAAAATGCTGAAGTTAACGGACGTTTGAAAGTTAACTAGCAACTTTATACTGAGGCTGTCGAGTCTACTCCAACTAACTCCAACTAGTAGGTCACCTGTAAACAACAGATTGGAACCTTACCTCATCCAACACCATTCGCACAGTCTCTGCTGTTCCTAATCTATTGTAAAAAGAGTACCAGCTGCAGGGAGATCACCAAGTCTGACCTCTACTAACTCCTCAAAGGGGAGCTGTCCCCATCAACAACATCCATAGTACAAAACTAATTTCTGTAAGATCAGACATAGTCCCTCACACTCCTACACCTGCTTCTTCTAGTTCCAACACCAATCTTGGTGTTCTCCTGGGTCCCTAATCCATTCCAGTAGCTACATAGACTTCACAGTAATGTTCTCAGAATTATGAAGTTAACAGGTTATAATGTGGGTTGTCAGTGAGATACAGTCCCTCAGTCCAGGCAACTTCTCAGTTGTGGTCACAGGCCTTTTGAGCCTTAGCCTCACAATTCAGGTCAGTGTTACAAAGTTCCCTTAGTCCTCCCAGTTATGGTGTCTTGCCTTAGTCCTCTGGCAAGCTTGGGTTAAAGATCTCTGGCTCTGACTCCATGAGGCAGCAGTCCCAAGTCAGTTCTGTCTAATGTTGGTCTCTGGTTCTCTGTTGAGGCTGCTGTTACTCTTATGATGTGGCTGAAACAGGAATCCCTAGCTCTGAAGGACATGTGCTGCTGATTCTTCCTTGTTAGCATTGAGATTCTCAATTTCTGCTTCTAAAACTGCTCCATTTAAAACTCATGGGTTGGCAAAACTAGCCAAGCCCCTTCTGGACAGGCTTCTTGTGTTCTGTCAAGTCAGGACTGACTCATAGCTGGTCTTCCAGTGGATTTTCAGAGGCAATAAATTGCATGGAAATTGTCCATTTTTCTCCTGTGGTGCAACTGACATAGTCAAACTGCTTATCTTCTGACTGACAGTGTAATGTGTTACCACTAGGACACCTTCACTCTCTATTTGTATGATCCTGTTCACTCGTGTGGCAAAATCAAATTCAATGGTAAGGAGAGCTATTCTGATCAATAAACCCCTGATACTATGACCCATTGTTGTAGCACTGTGTCCGTCCATCTTTTTGAGGGTCTTCCTCTCTTTCTCTGACCCTCTATCTTCCAAGAATATCCCAAAGTATATGGGACAGAGCTTCACATCTTTGCATCCAAGGAGCACTTTGGCTCTCTTCTTCCAAAATAGACCTGTTTGTTCTCTTGGCATTCTGTCCTATCTTAAATACTTTGTACCAACCCACAACTCAAAGGCATCAATTCTTCTTTATTTATCCTTATTCATTGTCAAAGTTTGCCATACTTATGAAGCAGTTGAAAATACTATGTCTTGGACCCGATGTAACAGAGTTTTTAAACTAACATCCTTGCTCTTTAACATCTTAGAGATGTGTTTGACAGCAGATTTGCTCAGTGCAATGCAGTGCATAATTAGATATCTCGACTGATGATACTATGAATATTGATTGTGGATTCTGCTATAATAAAATTCTTGAAAACAGTTTTTGTTTGTGTTACTTTGATGATCATTATTATGGGGGTCTTGTTTTTATGTTGAGGTATAATCCATATCAAAGATTACACAGTTTTTAAGCATCATCAGTAAATATTTTAAATCCTTTTCATTTACTGAGGTTACTTAACATACAATCAAACATTTTGTGTTCCTTGGTTTGGACTTGTGGAATCATGATTTCATAGGGCATCCCAGTTAATTGGCCAAATAACATTCCGGAATTCTGTTCTACTTCTTAGTTCATTGGGTAACTCCCAGGATGTTAATAGATTGTGACCATCCAAGGTACAACAGTTGATCTAGTTTTGCCCAGATCTTGAGGGGAAGAAAGAATCCACATCCCAGTTAATTGGCCAAATAACATTCCGGAATTCTGTTCTACTTCTTAGTTCATTGGGTAACTCCCAGGATGTTAATAGATTGTGACCATCCAAGGTACAACAGTTGATCTAGTTTTGCCCAGATCTTGAGGGGAAGAAAGAATCCAGAAATAGGGGGAGGCCATGGAGGTATGCCTAATTGCCTCCGTGAACCACTGCCCCTTTGCCAGAGGAACTAGATGGTGCCCAACTAACAATTTAAACAAAGATTATTTTGAAGAATGCTGATGAAAAGGGGGCCAATCCAGAGCATAATGTCAAATTCTCCTCTCTGCATTTTCTGGAAACATCAAGATGGGATGTCTCTGAATTTTGTCCAGAGACAATATTTTAAAAACCAAACAATAGCTTAACTTAACTGGAGGGTAGGGGGAGTCTACTTTGAGCATTATGCTCTTTTCAGCACATTTGTGTGAAATCAAACTGATGATAGTGACTCAGGAGAATAGTTAGAAATCTTAGCTATCAGGGAACTGATGTCAGTGAAGGAGGCACAGCTTGGAAAAGGAAGATGAGAATGGTTGTACAATGTAAAAAATGTAATAATGTCACTGAACTGTAGAAACTTTTTAATTGGTATATGTCTTCAAGTTTTCTCAACAACAACAAAAACAAAAATCTCTTTTAAAGTTACTTAGCAGCTTTAAATGGTTTTGTCACTCTAAAGTATCAAGACCTCCTGCAAGCATACCCAGACCTCTTGGTTTTTGCCAGTTTCATTTTCATCCAGTAATTGTTTCTTAATTTTGAGACTTACCATCCTTTCATGCTTAACTTTTACCAAGTTTGTATGAGGAACCATGAATGAAAATGTTTAGGGCTGTTTCTTGGCTTCCCATCATATCTGAACCTTCTTCCTTAGATTTCCTTTGTCATGTTGAAAGCTTTTACTTGAATATATTGGAAGCAGGAGTCGTATCCACTTCCTAAACAACATGCTCTGGAAACTCTATGAAATTTGATAAATGACAGTAGTTCTAGAAAGACTTCAGGTCTTTTGTTTGTACTCGACTCAATGGCAATCAACAACAACATATTGTATACACTCCCTTTATACATGTGTAAAAGGAGTGTACATTATCTTTTAAGTGACTCAAGAAAACATTAAGGATTGGGGACTCTCTTTAACAGATATGTGATACTATAGTTTTTAAGTGGTACAGGCCTCATGTGAGAAAAGTTGCAGAATGGTAAACATTGTATTTTCATTATCTCATTGTCCAAGGTACATGGAGAACAAATGTGGCTATTAAGTATAAAGGGACAGAGGTCCCTCCTAACTTATCCTTAGCCACCACTTTTCCCCATGCCCTTTTATAAGCCTGAAATATTCTAAAAGCCAAATGAGCCTTGTTAAATATTCTTCTTTAATAGTAAAGTAACCTAGCCACTAGAGACATCCAAGTCATAGACCTTTTTTTTCTTTTGGCAGGAACTTAGATAATGGGCTGTGTGCAATGTAAGGATAAAGAAGCAACAAAACTGACGGAGGAGAGGGATGGCAGCCTGAACCAGAGCTCCGGGTACCGCTATGGCACAGACCCCACCCCTCAGCACTACCCCAGCTTCGGCGTGACCTCCATCCCAAACTACAACAACTTCCACGCAGCAGGGGGCCAAGGACTCACTGTCTTTGGGGGTGTGAACTCTTCGTCTCACACTGGGACCTTGAGGACAAGAGGAGGAACAGGTAAGCACCAGGGGAATGGGAAAGGCAGGCAGAGGCCAACTGCTCTTACTTGTTTTGTTGTTGATTGAATATTTGACAGTCAGCTCCCCTTGACTAAGGAATTTCCATTTCCATCTCCAACTAATATCTACATGTTCCCTAACAAATGAGTGTTGGTTTTAGCCACACTTGACTTGGTTCATACTCTGATTCACTCTGCACCATCCACATCATGAATTATGGATTGGATTGTTGTGATCCACAAAGTTTTCATTAGCTGGTCTTGAGAGGATGATAGCCAGGCCTTTCTTCCTAATCTTAGTCTGGAAGTTCTGCTAAAACAAGCTCAGCACTATAACATCATGCAAGCCTCCACTATTAGTGGTGGTTGTATATGAGGTGCTCTGACTAGGAATTAGAGTTGGATGTCTTCTATGTGTGGTAAGAATTATGTTACTGAAACAAGACCACTGCTATTAGATGTTATGTGTTGTCCAGTTATAACACACTCATAGCTGATCCCCCAGTGGGTTTTCAGAGGCTTTAAATCGAACTGGGGGAAGATTGTCCATCTTTCTCCCATAGAGAGGCTGCTGGATTTGAATGAGCTGCCTCTGGGTTAGCAACACAATTCCTTACCACTAGGCGACCAGAGTTCCCTATTTTTAGATGAGAGGTTGTCAAAAGCCAGAGCTTGATGTACAAATCCACATGCTGGCTACGTGGGGATCTCAGGGTTGAGCGTAGGTTCTCAAGTGTTCCTCTTTGGGAATTCTGTACTAAGGTGATGCTCTGCATCAGTGGTCCCCAGACTTGGCTATTACTCAAAATAACTTAGGCAGAGTTGTTTGTGTGTTTGTTTGTTTTTCCAAGATAGAGATGCCTGGCCTCATCACAGAACTTTTGACTCTTAAACTCTAGCTAGGACTGAGTCTGGACATGAGAATTTGGAGTTCCTTAGATATTAATGCAACACCATTACCCCCCCACTGCTGACCCCTAATTAAGAACCACTTTATAGAGATAGCCACTCCTCCTTCAACCCCCAAATTCCCCAGCCTGCCACTCACATCCCAGCCAGGGGTCGTTTGGCCGTAATACCACTTGGCTATTTGCCTTCACTGACTCCATCTCTCTGGTCTCCTTATCATTTTCCATGGTTATCAAATGTTTCATGTATCTTCTCTATTTTGAAATTAATTTTACATATCCTTAAGGGGCCTAATTTTTCTTAAAAAAAATTTCCTCTCCTTCACACCACAAGGCTACATTTTACTGCCATGTATACTTGCTGACTTAGCTAAGACTTTGTAAAATATCTGGCATAGTGCTCAGACATATGTTTTCTGGAATATTTGGAAGTTATCTCATGCATCCTTAGTCTTCCAAATCCTCTCCCAGTATGTGAACTATGGTAACAAGATACTTGACATTATTTGTTCCAGAATTGTTTGGCTTATTAGAAAAGTTTGGAAGAACAAGCATCAGCGATTATACTCTTAAGTTCATTTGAGAATGGATATCTTCTGTCTTACCCACTGTGCCTTTCTGCCTGGCAAGTTAGCTCTACTGAGACATTGTTGAGTGTTTGCTGTTGTTAGGTGCCAGTTAGTTGCCTGTAACTCTGGAGAACAGTACTGAGTATCTATGGACAGCCAAAAGAACAAACAGATATGTCTTGTGAAAAGTATTACCAGAGTGTTCCTTGGAGGCAAAGATGCTGAAGCTCCATCTCTCTTACTTTAGACATGTTTCTAGGAGAGGCTGTTCGTTGGAAAAGGATGTCATACTTGGAAAGATTAAGGGTCAGCAAAAGGGAGGAAGATCCCCAATGAGATGGATTGACACAGTAGGCTAGAGCAGTGGGTTCCAGTTGTGTCAGAAATGATGAGGATGTCATAGGGTAGAACCGAGTTCAGCTCTGTTGTTCACAGGGTTACTGTAAGTCATACTGGACTCAGCAGCACCTAACAACAACAGCTTAGCAACCCTGAACAACAGCTGATCAAATATGAACAGCAGATCTGAGCCTTGTCCTATCCTGACCCATCCTCCCGGTGTGCTCAAGCCCATCGTTACAGTCACTACGTCAGTCCGTTTTGTTGAAAGCCTTGCTCTCTTTCTCTGACTGTCTACATTCCCCAGCATGTTATCTTTTCCAACGTCTGGTCCCTCCTGACAACATGCCCAACGTATGTGAGACCAAGCTTCCTCATCCCTGCCTTTTAGTAGCCCCAGAGAGGTTCTTGTCACTGTACCCAGCACATGACAATGTGTTCTGACAGTGTTAGGGCCCTCCAGCCCAGAACCTCTGGATAGTAGCTACTTCTGTTGAACCAGCACATCACATTCTGTTCAATAGAAGAAAAACAATACATTTCTTTTGGCTATGCTGAGTCTAGCTTTTCCATCAACTTTCTTACCTTATATGAGTAAATGAGTGCAAGGTTAATAAAAATAATAGGTGTCTTTGTTTCAACTCATGGTGACCTTTTGGAAGCAGGTTGGAAGGCTTTTTATTCTGAAGCATCTCTGAGTTGGTTTGAACTGACAACCTTTCTTTTAGTCATCAAGGATTTAGCTATCTGCATTACCCAAGGTTGCCCAATGTCAGTACCCTTACCCAACTCTCCTGCCTTCATAAAGAGAACCTGTATGAGAGCTCTGATGATCTAGAGCTAAGAACATAAGCTACAATCCTAAAGAGAACCTGGAATAGAGAGAGGAAGGAAGGAGGCAGACAGGCGGTCCAGAGAAGTCTGGCTCTTGAGGATTCAGGATGAAAAAGAGAGCCAGAAAGGCACCCAGCAGAGCCCCCCTGTGCCAACTGTAAGAAACACAAGGACATTGCCAGCCTAGGCTCTTATTTCTGCTGACTCAAGCACCATCCTTGTTCACTCATTCAGGATTGTTGGCTGCGAATCCATGTGTCTACAGGTTTGATTCATTAAAATCGGTCGAGAGCTCCTTTCCTTAAGCATGTGGGTCCATACCACAATTAGGGATGGTCTTAGTGTATGAAGCCATGTGGTCCATTATTGAATTTGTGAGTTAAAACACTGGCACCCCCCTCCGCCCCCAAACATTGGAGGATTTTTCTGCCTTCTGTTAGTTGGCTTTATTATCTATGCGTGCCCTTTCTCCTCAACTCTGCTTCAGTCCTTCAAAGCCAAGAACAATGTCCGTGTTTCTCCATAACCTCCTTTAATTCTCCCCTCCATTCCTAGAGCATAAAAGGCTCAGTGAGAACTTGTCAGCTGCTGTGAGGAGAGAGTGGGAGTGTGGGTCTTCATGTGCCTGGCCTTCTACACAATGGAGCTGGCTTAGGTTTGTTTATATATTATGCAATGAAGGGAATCTGTTAATAGAGTGTTAAATGAGAATAGGCGTGACCTTACAGGCTCCCACATCTTTGTTGTAAACCAATCTCTTTTTTAACCTTTCAAAGGCAGCAAAAGAAAAGATGATGGTTGCCCTGCTTTGCATGGTCAGACCTTCTGAATGCCTACTTTCCTACAGGAAGTCCCTCTGAGGATGGGGTGAAAAGACAAGCCCACCTCCCTCTCTGGTTCCAGAATAATCTCACAGATATATCTGTTCCCTGGAAACTACCTACACAGCAAAATGGCAGCTTGAGGAAAGGGCAGGTTCCATTGTGTGAGTCCTGCAGGTCACACCGGGCACTTTGATGTTGTGGTGACAACAATGAGAAGGCAGAGAACTGAGAAATGAAGTAGTATTAGTGATTATATCTTCTGCATAAGAAATTATCAAATTCAGTAGCTTGAAAGAGTATCCCTTTATCATCTCATGGTTTCAGTGAAGAATGACTGAATTGGATGATCTTCAGAGTTTCTCACAGGCTGCAGGTGATCTCAGGCCGGCTTTAGTCATCGTAAGGTCTTACTGAGGAATATCTGCAGATGCAGTTCCTCAGAGCCTGATGGACTGGGGGTTTCTGTTCCTTGCTGACTGGTGGCCAGAGTCCGCCCCCAGTTGCAGGTCACGTGGACCTCTCCAGTGCGGCAGCTTGCGTCATCAGAATATGCAGACAGATATGGCAATGTAGTCAACTTGCAGACTAGATATCACAAAGTGGCATCCCATCACCTGTGCCCTTTCCTGTCAGTTAGAAGCATGCACTAAATTCAGACCGTACTCCAAAGCAGGGGTTTGGAGTGAAAGGATATGAGTACTAGGAGGCAGAAATCACTGGAGACCTCTTAGAATTCCGTCAACTAACTGAGGAAGTCCTAGGCCAAATGAGAAGCTGGGGATTTGGGAGCTGTTGCTAGCAACTTTGTGCAAAACTACAAGGTTCTATGTAGGCAATTCAACCAGATAAGAAGACTTTGCTGGTGGATGAGAGTGAGAGTGAGTGCAGTATAAGTAGGCGGGTCCAAGATAAAGGAGAACTAAGGAGAGGGTTAATTTTGAGTAGTAGCACCAAGCAACTAGAAACTTATATGCAGATGCCACGGCATTGAACATTACAGATTGTCACAGGTCAGCTCTTGAGTCCTCCAGGCGGCAGGAGGAATTGCTTAGCACAGTCTACAGTACAGTTACACCAGGGGAGTGAGCGAGCCCTTTTACCCAGAGCTTAGCAGGGGCTCCCAAGTAGTGAAGAACATGTGTCAGACAAAGGATATCTATAATTGCTACAGAGCTCTGCAAATCTCAGCACTAACACTGCTGCTCTTCTTCCAGTTTGGACAGGTTATTAATACCTACCTCTTCCCAAGAACTCTTTCGAACATGGTACAGAAAGAAGTCCTTCCACTTCAGGTTTTAGTTGGATCAAATCATACTGTTTCTAACAAACATGTGGCATAAATAAAACACTATGACTCCAGTTTTCAGGTGTTAAATACAACACGACATCATGTTAGCAGTGCTGACAAGATGTAGATTTTGAGAAGGAGGTTTTAGTAAAGATTTAATTCCTTGGAATTCATTTTCCCTCCTATAGTAATCACTCTTCTTTTTGCAGGAGTGACCTTGTTTGTAGCCCTTTATGACTATGAAGCACGGACAGAAGATGACCTGAGTTTTCACAAAGGAGAAAAATTTCAAATATTGAACAGCTCGTAAGTTTGGGATGGGAGTGGGCAGAGATGTGTGCCTCAGGTAATAGGAGAGGATTCTTGTCTCTTATGCCTGTGGCTTTTCAGATACCGAAATGCTAGAAGAACATTTGCTAAGTATAGTAATTCATGCTATGCCTGAGAAAAGAAAAGTTGATGACCCAGTGCAGTACTTTATGACATTGTATGTTCAGGAAAAGGAGGCTTAATGGTACCAATAGTCAAGCTTTCAGCTTTGACCAAAAGGTTATCAGTTCAAAACTACCTAGCCGCTCCGTTACAGAGAAAGACCTGTCAATCTGCTTCTATAAAGATTTCAGCCAAGAAAACTCAACAAGACAATTTTTCTCTGTTACATGGGATTACTATAAATAAAAAATGACTCCGTGAATACAAATAAAAATAAAAAATTTTATTGGGGGAGGGGAAAAATACGACTCAGTGGCACCCAACAGCAATGGCCAGGAGATTTCTGGAAGGATACCGTAGTAACAGAAAGAGCTGTGTTGGTGTAGGGTATTAATATAATGCTGCTAGCCAAAAAGTCAGTGGTTCAAATACACTGGCTGCTCCAAAAGAGAAAGATGGACAGTCTCCTCCTGTAAAAATATACAGCCTCAGAAATACAGTGGCAGATCACTTTGAGTTAGAACTGGTTGACAACCATGGTTATAGTAGCCGAGTCAATGATTTTTGGGTTTAGAATGTTTTTTAAAAGCTTTGAAAGCACAAACGCTCCTCCATCCGTCAGGCCTGTAGTTTCAAAAAAGTGACACCCACACAAGGGCTTGGCTACTCGTATCTGTCTGCCCGAAACTTTCTTCACTTTTCTTGCGCTGGCCAAGCCTTCATTTATGGCGCGCAGCAAGTTCCTTCTGTTTTTATAACTATTAAACATACTATCCAGTGAAGTCTCCGAAGGCCTTTCTCCATCATGAAAATGTGTGCATGACTGAAATGTCTGTGAAATGAAATGAAAAGCTATTTCACCCACTTGAGAGTGATTGTGATGTGTGGTTTTAAATATGGCCACAGTTAAACAGGCAGTGGAGAAGTTTCAAGAGTGAAAATGACTCATTCTTCAAATCCTACATTTAATATCTCTATTAGAAACAATAAATATGTGTCAGATTTCCCTATGCCTTTTAAACACTGCTTAATAAGTAGGTTGAGGAAATATGTACAGTAACCTTCTAGAAAAATCTGGACTCAAGGAAAATGGTGGTGCCATGTCAGCAGGACAGACCTCCTGCTCCCCCACCAGCCCCTCAAGATCTCCTGCTGAGTGCTCCCTGGTGGTTGGGAAGATACGTCTCCTGGCTCTAGAGGCCAGACCTTACCTATGGCTGACTGACTTTACCCTCATCTCTCTGAGCTATCTGATAGCAAAAAGACTTGTGACCTGGCTCCAGCCTCCCTGAGAGGGTGAGCAAGGGAAGGTGTGAGGCAAGGAGAGGCCATTGCAATAAGGAACCCCCTCAGCCTTGAAACGGCCTTACTAAATAAAAAGTCCCCCTCTTTCCTGAATGTTCCCAGCCCCACTCTCAGCCTGCCAGCAATATGCCACCTTTCAATAGCAAGAACAGAATTCCTCCCACGTTGTTGTTGTTAGGTGGCATTGAGTTGACTACAACTCCTGATTGATCCACTTGAGCCCATTCTAGTTACTTTGTCAATCTATCTTGTTGAAGGTCTTCCTCTTTTTTTAGTAACCCTCCATCATTCTCAGCATTATTATATCTGTTTCCAAGGACTGGCAAGTCCTTTCCAGGGTCCTGGCTGAAACCTTGATAACATGCCAAAAATTTGTGAGATCGAGTTTCACCATCCGTGCCCTTAAACAACATGCCGGTGGTACTTCTCCAAGACAGACTTGTTGACTTTCGGCAGTCCTTCAGATAGTCAGTACTCTTTTCCAGCCCCAGAATTCAAAAACATTGATTATAATTCTCCCATCGATAGTCCTTGTCCAACTTTCAGATACGTAGGCAGTAATTATAATAGGCCACAGTGTTCTTCTAGCTATCAGAAGACTGTCTACCTAAAACCAAGGACTATAAACTTCATTAAAGAAAAGCTTGGAAGAACTCTAGTAGTACTAATCCAGAACATAAACAGTCTTCCAAGTATCCTGAAAAATCTACAACCAGGAGAAGATAAAATAGATGAATGGGACCTTCTAAGAATCAAATCCCTATGCACATCCAAAAACTTCTTCAACAGGGTCAAAAGGGAAGCCACAGACTGGGAAAAAGTATTTGATAATGACATGTCAGATAAGGGACTTAATATCTAGAATTTATAAAATACTTGAGCACCATAACAAGATAAAGGTAAATAATCCAATTGATAAATGGCCACAGGATATGAACAGACACTTCACCAAAGAAGACATTCAGATGGC